GACAACACGCCGGAGGCCTTTCAATGTTTTAGTTCGTGTTTGCGGCTCGACCCGACGAATGCGCGGGCGCTTTTGGCCGTCTCCAGCGTTATTCAGAAAAACCAACAATACGACGTGGCTCTGGGGAACTATCGAATGGCGTTGGATCGGATGCCGAATTCGGCGGAGGTGTGGGGAAATGTCGGGGGGTGTTTTTTTGCGCAGAAGAACTACGACGCCGCCGTGGCGTGTTTGCGAAAGTCTTTTATGCTAGATCCCTTGGAATGGCGGACGCACCACAATTTGGGGATGGTCTACCTCCATTTGGGCCGCCAGGTTTCCGCCTTTCACCACATCTCCGCGTGTATTACGCTGAACGCGAAGAACGCGCCGGCGTATATGCTGCTTGGGGTTTGTTTATCCCTCGCGAGGGATTTCGACAACGCCTGTGAGGCCTACGAAAAGGCGATTTCGTTGAATGGCGAGGATCTGATGCTTCGCGTGAACTACGTCATTACGCTGTTAAATAACGCCATGGTGGAAAGGGCATCCGCGCAATTTCAGGTCGCCTTGTCGATTTGGAATAATGGGGCGTCGGAGCGGACGGAGAGGCCGAACGAATTGCTTTCGCGCACAATCGACGTCCTCTCGCGACGATTCATCGATTCCAATCATGTGGATTCCGTCCAGCGTTCGTCCAGCGGCGAGGCCGTTTCTTTTTCAAATCCTTCGATGGGGGGATGAAGGGCGTCTTTGAGGTGCGAGTTCGATTTCAGCTACGGCATAAATGCTGCTGGTGTGAATGGGTGTGAAAAACTGAATTATCGGTTATGAGGTTGACAACCAGGTCTTGCTGAGATTCAATCCTTTACTCAATTTCCCTATTCTATATCACCGCAATTCCTTTTTCCTCTTCACCGGCGCTGTAGATCGGCATTTATACTCTCTACGAAGCGCAAAACAGCACCCTACGATTGGTATTTTCTTTTTTGGAATTACTTCGAAGCTATCAAGTGCAATAGTATAGTTGATGAAAATGAGTCATTAATAATTCGTATACCTATGTCAAGTAGGGTTTGAATGTGATGAATTGTTATGGATTTCCACCCTTCCCTTCTGCATTTTTTCGACAATAATTTTGTGTTTACCATGTTCTGATTACACACACATATATATATAAATATTTATATATTGTATGTGGAGACATCCCCCCCCCTCCCCCCTCAAAAAAAAAAAGAAAAAACTACAGCCAGATACCGGTTAGAAAATGAAGGATGCCGGTCAACAATGAAGGCTCATTTGGGCCCAGTATCGCTAAAATACACGGCAATGCTGGGCGAAATAAAAATGCCTGTTTACTTTATTTGACTATCCTATTGGGTTCAGGATTCCCTCTGTACTTTGGGTAGCTCGAATTCATCGCTTGTTTTTTCCACCTTTGTCCTTCTTGTGTACTCTTTCCCCTAAGCTCAGCAGGTCAAGCATTCACGGAACATCCACCCCGCCAACCCCACGTCCATTCCCAATGCAGCTTGCGGAGGCCGAGTGCCGGC